GACAACGAAGCACGTGCGTGCGAAAATAGGTAGTGGACTGGCCCACATAGCGACAGCACGCGGCAGACGATTACCTCGATCGGCAGCAACGAACAAAATCGTAACCAGTCATAGCCTCATCATCAGATAGTCCAAATTCGAAGGTCGACGGTCAGGCACAGAATTTAAACAACAACCTGGTTCGAGAAATTCAGCAGCTGACAAAGACAAGGACTACTCTGAGCCCTTCTTTGATAATTTAATTTTGACCTTGAGAGTGTACAAGACTCTTTCAGTCGTTTCCTTCTGTGAAGGTGTAATTACTATTACCAAATTCACTAAGACCACAGAAAGAAGTAAACTATATCGACGTTGTTAGCAGGAAGTCGTCTACCTATAGAGCGAAAAGAGAATTTCTGTCGCAAATCGACAACGATCTTCCTACGCCATCAGTCAACGCCGTGCAGAGAGGAGCGAGCGAAAACGGCTTGTGACCTAGTTAGCACATAGCGCGGCCACTGCATAGCTTACGTAAGCGAACTGAATTTGTGAAAACGATGAAAACCACTAGGACATTGAACTCAGATATGCCTGCGCTGTATCGGGAGAACATGAACTGCGCGCACGCAGAGAATTGCGGAGCTCTCATTTTATCATAGTTCTCGAACCGAGCACATCTCTTCTGGCGTGGTCTCCTCAACTCAAAGAGCCAGACACTTAACCTTGTCCGACATTACCAACGAGAGCGGCAGCGACGACGTCAACGACGCCCGCACCCAGCGTCTGCGATCACTCGGCGTTTTTCGTCGCACCAAAAAGCGTCACTACATAATGGACGTGGCCTGTAAGAGAAGGCCACGGTGGATAGTGGCATGCGAAAGCGCAGCGCCGTACTGAGCGCAACCATCGAGCCACCCGAACCAGTTTCTTGTCGGGGGCAGCGGGGCACCGATGCTGCCTTGCAACCGACTATGTACGTACAGAGTGTGTATGCATGTGTGTGTGGCAGTACTCACCTTGCATCCCTCACAAGCGAACACGCCGTAGTGGAAACCACTCGCTTTGTCCGAACACACTTGGCAGAGCAGAGTGGTGGCCGAGAACTCCTCGGTACCGCCTGAAATAAAGATGATAGTAAGTTGAGGAATATACCAATCGTTTGGTTAATGTCAGTATAAATTTCCCTAGAAAAAAATTGCATGCCTTTTGGAAACTTATATGAATGGATATTTGTTTACCGTGAATTATCCCTTCATTGTGCTTAAAAGACTATAACCTATCTTGGTCATACTACCACTCATGCAAGGAAAACATGAAGTCAGGAAATGCCTGAGTGAAAACAAATTGTGTTAACTGCGGCCTCAGTTTAAAAAAAA